TAAATATCCCCAATCATCTAGTCAAAGTCTATTTTTCTTTGGAAAAATTGACGTAATTAAAGATGTGTCTTCGAAATAAAAGAAGTTGCAACTCTATTTATAAAATTAGGAAAACCGAAACTGCATGAAAAACACGACTGGCATTAGGCCATGCAATATAACTACCAAAAGAAAGAGAAAAAAAACGAGTATGGCTGTAAAATAAAATCAATCTCACATATAAAAAAAGTAGGGAAGAACTTAGTAGTTCCCTTTCAACTTAGGTGGAACATGAGAATTGTTTGTGTTGTGCATGGAGGCTCAAGACATTGTTTTTTAAGGGGAGGGGCAATAAATGATTGAATTACCCTTTTCTGAAATTTTACACAAAGATAAAATCATAATTAAAAGAGTCAATTAAGACAAATGGAACACATTAGAATTTTTTTAGTGTTGATAAAAACTGATAACTGTTGAGGCCCAAAAAATCCAAGGCTGGGCCCAAATATATTTCTAGCCCAGCAAGACACCTAACTTGGGAAAAAACCCAACTTGGGTACGCAAGAGTTCATCATATACGCTTGCACACGTGCCACACCAAGCAAATAAGCAACACGCCACGCTACAAGCTTAAGTGGACCCAAGTCACGCGAATGCCTGGGGCTTGCTGAGCGGGTTGTGGTATGAATGGTTACGAGTTTTCATGAGGCCCATTGATGAGCCGAGAAATGGAAGTTAGCCCATCACCTAAGGAGATTAGCCCATTCTCTTAATTGGCTAACCCATCACCTTAGGAAAGCCCAAGCAACCAAGAAGAAAATATGTGCAATCTCCAGCATATGGCTGGAGACAAAAGCCTCAACAAAAGCCAAAGCTGCCTATGTATGCAGGTTGCTGGGAATCTCCAGCACATAGCCAAAGACAATTCCCAACACAAGCCATCCAAAAAACCAAAGGGTACTTGAGCAAAACACCCTTCAAACCAGCGTGCATATCCATTTCCTTTCCCTCATCAGACCTAGCCATGAAAGAAGGAAGGAAAGAAAGGAGGGAGATGGCTGGGAATAGGAGTTCTCCACTGAGGCAGTCGCGGGAAGAGCATTGAGCTCCCAAAAATCCCTGATTTTGTGAGATTAGGCAAAGGGGATTTTTACCATGATAAGATAAGTCAAAGGAAGGGAGGAAAAAGGAAGGAAAAAGCTTGGCCAAAATGGATAGAAACCATTAGGGTTTCTTGGAAAAGAATAGCTTCCAGCGCCTATAAAAAGGGTCATCTCCTACCCATCAAACCAACCACATCAAGAGAGCGAGTATCATCTCTCATCCTTACAACCCACATCCAGAGATCAAGCTTCCTCTCTCACTTGCAAAGCCCAGTAAATTCGTGCTCTATTCATCATTTTCCCCTATTTTCCCTCTTCTGGCAGCCTGTTCTAACACTTGACAGAGCCTTTGTCAAGCTGTTGAAAAAACACTCAAGCCACCCATTCATCTCTCTTTCCCTTATTCTTAGCCAAACCTTCATGCAGACCCTTCTTCTCTTACCTTAACACCCCCTTTTTCTCCCAGGAGCTCACAGCTTTCTCTCTTTAAGTGCTAAACTCATGACTACTGTAACATCCCGACCCAAAATATAACCTTTCATTAATTAATTTAATTTAATTAAACGTGAATTTCCAATTTTACCCTCGAGTAGGGGCAAAATGATTATTTTTATCCGAGAAGTTTTTGGGATGACAAGTGGTATTTTAAGGAAGGTCGTATTGAGACGAGTCCGTAGACATGCGGTGGGTTTGAATCGGACTTTTAACGAGAGAGATACGAGGTAAAAACCTCCAGTGGCACAATCGGAATATTTTCGAAGTTTAATTTTAATAAAAATCAGAAAATCCCTCATTTTCTCTCTCTCTCTCTCTCTCCCGTGCGCAGCCAAACCCCCCTCCCCTTCGCTGTTACTGTTCACCGGCGGCTTCTTTGAGCCGCCGCCACCGCTACGGTCCACCACCGGAGCTGAGACCGGTCTCAAACTGACCGCTACCCTAACTGCAATCAAGTTGCCAAGAGATGCTTGCTTTCTAGTTTCTACCCAAAAATAGCTACCAAAGCTGCTTCTTTTCCTCACTCTTTAGTCTTAGAGAGAGAGAGAAGGGAACAATAACAAGCAGATGATTGGTTTTGACTGTTAAAAGAAAGTTACAATGCCTCTTTTACTGAAACAAACATCAAGTTACCAAAGCTGCTTTGTATCCAAAAAAAGTTACCAAAGCTGCTGTTTTTCTTCACTCTGGGAAAGAGAGAGAGAGAGAGAGAGAGAGAGATCGATCTGGGCAAAGAGCTATCAAGGTAAGTTGCCAACAGCTGCTTCGTACCCAAAAAAGTTACCAAAGATGTTGTCTTTCAGATTCAGCACTCAGAGAGAGAGAGAGAGACAGAGACAGAGAGCAATAAATAACCAGTAAACAATTGGTTTTGACTGTAGCAGGAAAGTTACTATGCAGAAACCAAAATCAAATGCTCAGATCCAAGTCCAAACGTACGAAATCAACACAAATCTCACGCATAACTAAAATAAATTAATTTACATCAACACAGACTTATAAGAGAGGCTTGCAAAAAAAAAAAAAACAACAGCAGCAGCAGCTCCATATAAACAACTATAAATTGTCTTCAAACCAACTATAAATTAATCACAAATTCACAATAATAATGCCAGCCATAAAATTTGAGTTTATGCCAGCCAAATTATCAATCACAATCAAACAATTCTGAGACAATATATACCACAAAGGATCCTTATTGCATAAATAAAAAATGACAACAACATAAATCAGCTGTAATTTTGGCTTTCTTTTTCTTTGAAAAAAAAAAAACTGGTACAAAACAAAAGGAGAAAAAAGTTAACGATAATGTCCTAGTCTAGTTTGAAAACAAATAAGCTCTTGTACAAACCGCTAGTTCCTTTAACGATAATGTCCTAGTCTAGTTTGAAAACAAAGGTGGTTCTATCTAAGACAAAAGAAACCCATTATCAAATTTAAACAGAAACTCACATTACCAACAAACAAAATCCAGCTATCCAAAAGAATTTGAGAAACCAAAAGACAAAAGGAATAGAAAAAGCAAACTGACCTTTGATTAGGAAATCCCCAATTCTAGGGTTTGAACTGATGAGAGAGAGGTAGAGAGAGAGGGACGAAGAGAGAGATGGAGAGAGAGGGAGCAAGCGAGCTTCAAACTTCTCCCATGGAAGCTTGAGCGAGAACCAGCAGTGCAGAGCAAACCAGTAGCGCAGAGCAAACGAACGACGCTAGAAAAAAATTCAAGAAAAACGCATTTGTTTTGTTTTTAATAATAAGGGTCTTTTTAAGTTTATTTTGAGATTGGATTTTTAAAAATGGGCCTACCAAACGAGTTTTGGGGCCTTTGGATTTAAAATCTGTTTTTGAGTTTATAAAATTGGACTCAAATCCGATACCAAACAGGCAATTAAAGATTATCATCTGATTTCTGGCTTGAGAGAGAGAGAGTAAAAGATATTGTTATAGTTTACCACTAGTTGTTTGTTTGTTTGTCACAGCAACTGAGTAGCAACCGGAATTAAGGATGGATGTTCTTGAAGGGGAAGGTAGCCTTCGATGGGAAACTAAAGAGGGGGGTCCTAAAATTTAATTCGCATCGTTCACCCTGAGAAAGAGAAATTGCAGGATAATATCCAGATACTGGTCCCATCTTACGAATGCCACCAAGTGAGACACCATTTCTGTAGAATGATATTTCATTACAATCCAAATCTATGCAGCAGCCAATACTAGCATCACCAACAACCCATGATTGATCATATGGCTCAGCTTGCTTGTTCCATTTTCTAACCCTCCTCCCATCAAATGCATACGGATCATCAGCATCACCTACAGGCTACACCCTTATGCTTATGGTCAGTAAAAGGGCAAGAAACGGTTGCCCATCCAAGTTGCTGAATACCTCAAGTTTCTAGAATGACTTCATACATCCATTTACATTTCCACACAAAAGCATTGGCTCTGGCACTGCTGAACATTGCTAAGCTCTCTACAAGCAAAGTTGTTTAATAGGTCTAATATCACCACGAATACTGAATTCATCAAGACCAATGATGTGGGGACCACAGCCATTCCCAGGAAGAATACAAACTCCATCTCTGTTTCTAACCAAAGCACTTGAATTGGCATGCAACTTAGAGAATTCTTTCTGTAATGCCGCGAACTAGATTGCTATCAATTGGACTGGGCAACAAACCAACAGATTTGTTAGGGAGACCAGGAACATGTTCTAAGGTCCGCTCCACTGATTGATGGCCAAAATCATCACAGTATGAACCAAGATGGGTTTTCGACGAATTCTCTTTACTATCCTCGTCATTCAATATCACGGCCAGACCAGAAGAAAACCCACCAATCCGTAGGCTGTCTTCTGCCATTCTGGACAAGGACGAGCAATATATTCCCAATACGATCCACAGCACTGGAAAATTTTATTCAGACTTCAATATGCCTAATAGCAAGCCAATTATGAATCCAACACTCATCCATCCCAATCAAAACTCTGAAACCCAAGCAAATTACCACCATGACCTGAAATCTCAAGGTTTAAATGCATACAACTTAGTTTCATAAACCATCTACAGAACGTTGTTCTGTTGGTTTTCGGATAAATACAGAAGAACACGAAATCAAAACTGCAACTTAAACATATTCCATGGACTTGCTTAGCACAATTAGTCGGCAAAATTAACGTAAATGTTTACAGACTACATGACAAAATATGTATAAATTTCACATTCCCTTGTCCTTTCTCCTCCCCTCAGTTTTCTCGGGGACCAAACAGGATCAAGGGAAAATGAATTGGAGGAAAATTCAGAATATAACCAACCTAAAAGAAAATAGTATTTATCAACTTTGAACCAATGTAGGTACAAGAGTCCAACCAGCTTAACTGTATACAATCAGAAAAGGATAGTATCCTAAGTATTTATCTCCATCTAATCACTCAAATTGATCCCCAGGATCCCTATCACATACTATTATTATCTTCAACATATGAATGAATTCGTTCAGTCCAATATCTATATTAGGAAACTTCATATGCCTTTCAGCTCCACTGTCAAGAATTGTGCAGTATCTTAGGTAATAATCATCAATGTTCTCGGGGTTGACATATCCCTCAACCTCATGATATAGTCTCATGTGTTCTTTTACCTTCCTACAAAGATCCTGCACTTGGTTGATTTCTGAGTCAAATAGAATATCCCCCAAGGAGTGCCTTTCCCCATCTATGGTGATCCTGCACAATGACACCAAAACTCCATCTTCTTTTTTAAGCTTCCAATCAATGTATCTCTCATCACCGTCTAACCACTCAAACTCAGACCAAGTATCTTCAGAGACTGCAACAACTCCTCGCACCAAATGGGTGAATACATCCCATTCGATCTCCAAACTTAGCTCCCTGTCAAATCCATTCCTAAGCTTGGTGTAGTAAATCAAGGTACTTGCATCAATATCACCATGAACTGAGAAATAATTCCTAACCATTTCATCCAAAGCTTCTATGTTACCATTGCAATCTTCAATCCGAACCCCTTTCCAACCAACCAATTCAGTTTCCTCATCTTCAGTTCTTCGATAAATGTCTAATAAAGTCCCATCAAAAGAAGATACTTGATCCACTAAGTGCCGGAAGACGCCCCAAGGAATTTCAGGTTTCAACCTCAAGAAACTATCTCCATTTAGTTGAAGATAGAGCACTGTGTACTCCTCAATGGAAGGCGTTTCGTATTCTTCCAAATCCCCATTTTCAAATATAACATCAAGAACTTTCTCATGTAATTCGTGAAAATCTTCGCACTCTTCAATCAGCACCACTCCTAGACAATGGGATTCATCATCGGTTGTGATCCTATAGATGTGCAAGGGCATTTGTTCCTCTGTTCCCTCACCTCCCTCCATCCCACCAGCCTCATAATTACCTTCCCCTTCCTCTTCATCCTCAGCTTCAGCTCCATCTTCACCCTCAGCTTCAGCTTCATTCCCACCCACATCTTCATTCCCACCCACAACTTCATGCACCCTTGTTTCTCCCCACAAAAAAGACGCAGAACCCTATAAAAAGATATGTGAAGTAAGTATTCAATCATTAGGCAGGTGTACCAATGGCATTTCTCATCAAACAAAAATACAATTCGACTAGTTGCTGGCTTTGACAGTCAAGAAAAAACACTGAAATTAAAAGAACACCAAAATAAAATGTACAATTTGATCTTGTTCATATGCTAGAAAGTATCATATTCTTTTAAAAGAAGTTAATATAGTGGTATAATACACTGAATTTATACGGTCAAATATTTCAATAAAAGCCAAAAAGATGATATACCTGATCAGCCTTGGCTTCATGGATGTGAGGTTGAAGAAGATCGAACAAAGACTCAGCCATTGTAGACTTCCAAACTTCAATTAAAGTATAACAGGGCAGATTATTAACAGGTTGACGTCCTCGTCCGTAGAATTCTGAATCATCGAATTCGCCGACGTCGGAGCGGGAGCCGGAGCAGCCTTTGCTTGGTTTGCGTTTGGCTCCTTGAGTAAAGCACCATTCAGACATTGATGTCCTTTGATAAAAATAGAAAGGGAACCAGAAATCACGAACGAGATAAAAAAAAATGCACAGAGATTCAGAGGGATGACGATTTGGGTGTGTTGAGAGGGAAGATGGTTCTTGGGTATTTTGGCGCTCAAGAATGGAATTCAAGAAATATAAGTTTCAGTTTCGTTTGCAGTCCAATATTTCTATGCGCTGGGCTCTATTGATGCCACTAAGTGAGAACCTCATATGAGGAATTAATCTCAGCCACCAAGTTGATCTGAACGGCCAGAGAAAAAGAAACAAGCTTACAATAGAATCGGGTACACTACACTTCCCCTTTTGTCCACGTGTCTTGGCGCGCCTTTTCCAATCCCGCCTTTCTTCATTCCAATCGCGCCTTTCTTCTTCTTAATTCATTTTTTTCAGACTCTCTCTTTTTACTCCCAAACAGATTCTCCTCTTAATACCATCCCATATTTTCTTTAGTTAGAATCGATATCTTTCTCTTGAACTCTCGAACTCTCTATTATGCCCTATCTGTTTCCCTCCTCTCCAACTCCATCTCTGTCTTGGTATCTCTTTCATTTTTATACAGTCCTTATACAAATAAAACCTCATTTCTCTCTTACTTCCCTTTCTTCTTCTCTCTCTACCCAACAAATTTTCTAGGTCTGAAACGGGTGGATGATGGGTTTATAGTTTAAGGTACAGATCTGTTGAAATTTATTTATTAATCCATTTTTGGGACTTTTTATGGGATCCTTACAAATCAATGGTGTTCATGGTGGATTTGGGTTAATTTGGGGCTCTAAGCGTCCAGATCTATACAGGGAAGTGGAAATAGTCTTTTCTACTTTAATCACTTTGTATTATGTTAAAAAAAATTCCAGTTTTTTTTCTCCTTTGTTGCTTGATTTGTGCATTTTGACATTACTTTGCAGGCTTGGTGTTTGCTTCTAAATGACAAAGTTATATTTAGGATGCAATGGCCATAATATGCAGATCTTTAGGTCAATGGTATGGTAATTCTGATTATTTGACATCTATTCAATATGTTGGCTTTCTCGGTTCTAGTTTTGTTTGCTAAAATATAAATTGGCGTCAGTTGCTTTGTGTCTTGTGTTTTCAAGTTTCTTTTTTGTTATAATTTTCTGGTTGAATTTGTTGGTGGGTAGGCATTATGATTCTGCGTGGAGTTGATTTTTTTTTTTAATTTATGTTTCTCTGCTATGCATTAGTTGAACTTTCATGCATTTTTCAACTGGTTCAGCTCTGCTTTACTACACATTTGCTGTGCCATTAGGTCTGTGATATGGAGGTTGAGATTGACTTGTTGCTTTGCTTTTCATGCCTTTTGGGTCTGTTTTCTTTTATTTTGTTATGAGCTTCATTGGTAAATTTTTTTGTGGTTGTCTAGTTTCATCTACCTTCAACATGTTAAGCATAGTAACTCTATATATAAGGTTTGCTGTTGTTTAAATGTTTTTTTCCTTTTTCCAAAATTTGGCTTTTTTTTTTTGCTATTGTTTGTGGTAATTTGTTAATGTGTAGATTCACAGATGTTGCTTCTTCCTGGTTAATGTACACTGTAGATCCCTCCAGTTTTGTAGCTGATGCTTTGCTTATTCTACTTCTCGTCTTTCTCAAACTTCCAAGGACCTCTCTCTGTTTGCTTTAACCCTCATTGTCCTCATGCTTTCGCCATCTAGTGGTGTGAGTGTTAGGCATCTTTTTAGTTATTTAGTGGGGCTTGGAAAACAATTAATAAGTACCATTAGAAGTAGAACATATAATAGAAAAATGAAGATCTAAACTGTGAGTATGAGATGATTTGGGATGCATACGGATCAATGCATCTTGTCAAGAAAGCATTTGCATACCCTGTTTATGTGCTACATTTGCATACCTTGTTTCTATTTATATGCTGTCGTGTGAATGCGAGCATTGTAAGTTTTATGGGTAGCCTTTCTAGTGATTAGCATTTTTGGAGTATTGTGTCCATTTCACAAGTGAGTTCTTATGTTAGGATGGTGAAAATGACCTACCTACTGGTCCTCTCTCTCCCCTGTTTTCTTTCTCTACACACACACA